ATCAGATTAGTCTCCATTCCAGACACCCGCTTCCAGGAAATTGTGGCTAATATCAGATGCATTGTGCAGCAGTAAGAGAAGGTGGCTGATTTCAACGCATCAGCTTGTACAGATTATGACCGAGCTAGGAAGTGTCTAAGAGATATTAGGATAGGCTGTGCTAAAACATTTTTGACAAACACCAGTTATTGACCCCCAGTGAAACTGTGCTAAGAGTAACAAATTGTTACTTGTACTGACGATTCATAAATTGAACTAGTTAGCATGTAGCATGCTGCTCCTCCAATAAACGAATACTGATGAAGGATGGGCCCCATTCTCTCTGGCTTGCGCCTGGCCTTTAATGAAGAGCTGTTATGTGTTCCTGTGAGCCTGATCACAAATTCAATAGGCAATTGTGCCTGATTCGCCAGCTCCTTCAGCAGTGTGCTGAAGAATGAGAGGCGTGACCAGTGTCGTGACGGCAGTGACGCCAGTCCACCTGTGAGTTGGGAAACAGGTGCCTGCCTGCTGCTGTGTACATGTTGAGATTTTGAAAGCCTTGTTTCTGAAGGCTTGGCCTGCTTGGTTCAGTTGTAGAGAATTTTTATTCAAAAGCAGCTTCATGTTCATTTTTAAGACAGTATTTGTATCTGGTTAAACAAAAATGTGACATGAATATATTAACTGATTAGTTATATTGGTTGAGTTTCAGTGTGTGAGTGTTATCATGGTCTTGTGACGCCCCTGGGCACGGGAATCTTTAGAGGCCCCCACACTCCAACAGTAAAGCGTTTAAAAAATTAAAAGACTAGAAATTTGTTGGATTTTTGTTTTAAACAAACAAAATTAGACTATTGTGTGATATTGATCATGTGTACTTTAGTATAAGATCTGAGATTTTTGGGTAGAATTTGAAGATTTTTTTTAAATCATGATTATTTTTTCTTTGAAGTCCCTGCTGTCATAGACAGTCTAAAAAATCCCATTATAATGGCATCAACAAGATTCCAGTCGATAATTATATAAAAATCAAGGGGCCTGAGAACAGATAACATCCCTTAATTTATTTAGTCATTTGTACACATTCAGTAGATATTTGTTCATCTTGTGTTTACTTTGGTAGTGGATCGTCCCAAGTATTTGGCCTCCCAGGGCCCTTGGCAGTCAGAGGCCACTGGGCACTGGCCCCACTGGCCTGGTCAGTAATCCGGCCCTGTTTGTGGAGTTGATTTAGATGATCTGTGTTGCAACTGACCCATATTTTAGAGGTGCATTTTTGAACTACAAGTAAGAACAAGTTTCAGCAGAACACAAAAAATGGGGTCAGAGCACCTGGTCATGGTCAATAGATTAAATACTCTTCAGTGATCCGCAGTTGATGTCCATTATTTCACAGTAACAAGCCTGTGGTTGCTGTTAGTCTTAATTATTCAGCAGCTTTGACATTTACTATTTATAGATGTTAAAAGCACTGCCATATTAAGCGTTTTTGTTAAATTATGTTTGTTGACACAGTGTTTTATGGTAATTACAGCAGGAATGTAGTAGTGTTGGACAGTTTTTATTGGTTTATATGACGTACGATAATGCGTGTTATTGTGTGTATAAGATAGGAGCTCTGTGAGTTTATGTATGTGTGTAAGATGGGAGCTCCAGAAGGTTCGTTCCTGCTGAGTTCAGAGGACCTCCTCTCAAAGGTCACACTCACCAGGGGAGGGAAAAAAAGGGAGCCTCGCCCAGCCAATCACATGGCCCCCTGCTGGCCATGCAACCGCCTTTGCATCACCATGGAGATGGCTGCACTATCCACACCTGCTGACAAGTCATATGGAGGACAGTCATCCATTTCTGTCACTCTGGGAGAGAGACTAAAGCATCAAAATTGTCTTACACAAAACCTAATCAGTTACTTTCGCATTAACGTCAGTGTAATCAGTGATAAGTATGTTGTCACCCTTTATGATAATCCGCAGCTCTTTTCAGTGTTTAAACACTGCAGTTTTTCTCACAGTGGATAATGAAGAGAGAGGAGGACCAGCTTTCTCTCCTTTTTTGACTCCCCCCATCCTCTCTCTACTTGTTTTTCTCTATGGATCACTCAAACACCCCCCCTAAAATCCTTCTTTCAATCTCACTCTCTCTTTTCATGCATTTCTCACGCTCTTTGCTTTGGTCTCAGAGCTGACGTCTTTATTGTCCGATTCGTTGGAGAGAGGCGCTCAACCCGAGGGCTGTTCTTGTCTTTCTAGCATAAAGGAGCTAAAAGCTAAATGCCCCTTTCATAGGGTTGGCAGAACGTTGTACTGAGCTTTAAGGAAGAATCACAGAAACACACAGAGAGACTAAAGGAGGTGATGTAGTAGAGAAAAGAAGTGCTACCGGAAGTGGGAGTAAAGGATGATAAAAATAGGAAGTGAGTTGAGAGTGAAGGTTGAGAGGGGGATAATGTCCTGTTTTTGATTTCCTTTAGTGGCTTTTGAGAGAGTATTTACACACACACACACACACACACACACACGGTTATCAGTGCCCGTATGTGTCAGCAGATGGTGGTGAGAAAACAGCCTGCGCTGACTTTGCCCCTCCTCTTGGCCACACCCCCTGACCTTTCTGCTGCAGCTAACTGGGGACCTGGGCTTTGAGTGACAGGTGGAGGGTTTAGCAGCGGGGTTTTGAGACATCCAGCATGAAATCCACTGAAGCCGTACTTAATGCTGAATAGATTTGATAAAATTCAGTATCTTAGCATTTTCCAAATACATCACTTTCTTGCATTAAAAGGGCCCATATTGTGGAACACAGAATTTTCTTCATGTTCGATATACAACATGAACATTGTTTCAGAACGTGTCATTCACTATCCCAGTCCATTAAGTCTATATAAAGCTACTAAACCGCAAAAACAGCCTGTTTTGAATTCACTGTCTTTGTGATGTAAGAAAAACAGCTCATTTACATATATCTGCCTTTTTTAGCCTACAGCATTTTAACCCTGCCCATTCACAATAGAATTATAAGGAGTGTTTTAGCCTAGACTGCGTTTTGAATGAGGCACAGTACAGGGCAGCCAACTGAAAGAGCGAGCTCATTTAAATATTAGACTTACAGGCACAGTAACAGACCAGCCTGTGTAATTCTAAGGGATAAAGAGAGGGTGGGAAAGGGCCATGTGAAAATGAATTACTGATTGTTTTTGGTACATACCACAACGCAAATGCTCTCTGGGGAAAAACTAAAATACAAGAACAGTGGAGGAAATGTGTTCTTTAACAGATGATATATAAGTATACATATTGTTGTGCTTCCTGAGTGTTGGTGCTCTGTTCGAAGAATAACCTGCAAATTCATAATAGCTTTCTTTGGTTGGACTATTTTGTTCAATTGTCTTATAATTTCACCAATGGTGACTTGTATAACTATTGTAAATATTTACTAAACAGAAACCAGATATTCACAAAAGAAACTTGCTTCATATTTATGTATCTTAAACTGGTCTTTTGAAACAGCAGTCCAGCAAATCACGCACATCACAGTTTTTTTGCTATCTATCAAAATTAAGTCAGCACTGTTATGCGATACCCATATTGGTGTGTTGGTGTGATGACGTATTACCCAACACTAGTGGTTCTGTGGGTTTACTGAGGAATATGTGATTAGAAACAAAAGAACCTAGTTTCCTGTCACATTTTTCCGTAGTTGATCCTTCTTCTGGCTTTTTTCATTATTGCTGCATTATAAGTTAGAGCAGTGATGCAGAGTCACACTCATTAACCATTTTTCTTTGTGTCTAAGAGAAGTGTCTGTGTGTCTGAGTGTGTCAGGTTTCACAGTGCAATATGGGCTCCTCCCACAGGAAGCATGTGGGATTAGTGGACTAAAAAGTGGGACCACAGGGATCAGGGCACACACACACACACGCAGGGCGGTCATGGCTTTAATTGACTTAATTCCTGGTGCTGCTTATTCTGTCTAGTAGGGCTCGACATAAAGTATTCCCATTCCCAGCAGCCATGCTGGGCTAGCAGGGCAAACTCGTGATGGTGCTCTCTAAAAACTGTTCTGAGCTCAGCTGCCCCTGTTCTACTACTTAAATGATCATTCCATGTAAAACAGCCACACCTGATCTGGAGTCAGCTGATTTGCATGTGCAGCACACTGTCAAACATTGCCCTCCTTTGTGACTAAAATAGATTGAGAGCAATGACGTCGCGCCCAGTGCTGAGAGTGCTGTCCATCGTAACTCAGTCAGTCCTGCCTCAGATAAGATCAGTGTTACAGCCAGGCAGGAACAGAAATGCTCTACTCCACTCCCCAGTGATCTGGGTGTTTGTTTGGAGTAATCACTCTTGTGTTTGATGCACAATGGGTCATACAGTGTGATGTTTGTTTAATGTAATCGTTTTCTCTTCTTAGTCTGCTTCAAATGCAAGGACATGAACAAATTTTCCTTCTCTTCATAACAGTTCATATAGATTGAGATATAATGGAGTTTAGCAAGGCTTGTGTGGTGGGATGGGCAATATGGCAAAAAATAGAACATCATGGTACTTCATGACTTTTTCACAATACGTGTGTATATTTAGTGGTATTTAGTTTTTTAGGTTTGATATGTTAGAACAGACCAGAAAGACCCTGTAGTGCCGCATTTAGAAATATTATGAATACAATGATTTTTATTCGGTGTTTCACATACAGCGCTAAACTAAATTCACTTAAACAGGACTAATTGTGCTCTCTTTGAAATTAAACATGTAGTTGGTCAGTGCTCTTTTAAAGGGCCCATTATCATGGAATACTGACTTTCCTTCACTTTACGTTTGATTAATATGTAAGTTTTAAAACATACCATTCACTACCCATTCCTTAAGTGGAAACTAAGCTGCAAAAACAGCATGTTTTGAATTAGTTGTTTCTGAAATGTCACAAGAACTAACTCATTTACATATATCCACCTATTCAGCCTATAGCAGTTTAGCCCAGCTGATCAATGTCTTTGTGTGTTTGTGTGTTCTTTTCAGGCTGATGCAAAGATGGTTTGTGATGTCGTGAGTCGTATGGAGGACACTGAACCCTACTCTCCTGAGCTCCTGACTGCCATGATGCGCCTGTGGGCCGACTCCGGCATCCAAGAGTGCTTCAGCCGCGCCCGAGAGTACCAGCTCAACGATTCCGCCCAATAGTGAGTATCGCCCCCCCCCTTTGGACCAGTATCGAAGTTCCAGCACAATGACATATGAAAAAAATATTTTTAAACATCTTTAAAATCTAAATTTAAAAATGACCACGAAGCAATTTCTGGCGCATGCATGTGCGCTAATTGATGGAAATTAACAGCACATCAGCGATCAGCGTTGTGAGCTGGCACGCAGTAGTAAAACTGCTAATGGCAAAATCTATAATGCCAGTATTTCGTGGAAAGGCAGTAAAAGTGGGTGATATACTGGTTGGGATCCTTCCTAAACTATTGGTTTCACCAATATGTCACAAATGCACCAGACAATGGAACATATGAACAGTGTAAAACACGCTAATGGGAGCCCATTACCTCAATGGCTGAGTCATTGTTCTTTCAGTAATCACTCATCTCCTGCTGTGTAGTCACTTACAGTCTGAGTAAATGTTAGTCCAGATTGTTGTTGACAAACATTAGAGAGACATGGAAGGATCCTCCAGTCTCTTGGGGTAATAATATCTTTTAGGCTTGGTTTAGCCTTTAGCATATCAGCCCGCTAGCCAGGCCTGTGTGTCCTCTAGCTCCCCCTGCCTCCATCAGTCAGCTGCATCATGCAGCAGCGGGTTCTTGTGGCCTTTTGCTTCAACAAAGCGGAGAAGTTTGTGACTCTAAGTGAACAGGAAGCGCATATGAGACAATTGACTTTAGAAATTTGGATGTGAAACCATGTTCAGCTACATTTTTACCGAGCCAGAGAAGCTGCTGTGTGCTTACATGTACAGACCACAAGTTCAGCTATATATTATGCAGTTCCACTTTTAACTGTTTTGCACAGTAAAATATTTTACATTTAATTAATAACATACAATTTATATATGGCTCTTATTGCTAATTATAGCATAGTAAAAACTAAATATATCCACAAGTGGGAGTGGGAGGGGCAAAGTGCTAACAGCTCAATAAGGCCTTTTTGGAGTTTGGGCCAGTGAAGTCTAACAAGGCCTAATGCAGTTTGGGCTTTATTTACAGAGAGAGGATGAAAAGTGAAAGGAAATCAGTTTATCTTAAGGCCTTATATGCCTTAAGTTATGAGCAGTAGCCTTTAAACATGAAATACGTTAGTTCATATTTACTGATCTTTTGAGCTTTGTATTGCATGTAAAAGATTTAACAAAAGTCAAAAATACATCACTATTTATACAGTGGGACCGTTGTATTTGCAGAGTTGTTGGTTCTCAAAATTTAACCCTTTAATATGCATGTCTTATTGGCCGGAGCACCCATAAGAGGCCTTTTTGGAATACGGGAGATGAGTGAAAGGGAGAATCAAATGTCTCCATATGTTATGATTATCAGTGGCCTTCAACAAAGATGTTTTTGGTTTTGTTTAGTCAGTTGTCTGACCATATGTAAAAATAATTCTGTACTTATGAATTTTTCCAGAAGGGTTAATTAGCATATGGCACCCATATTGCTTACAAAAGTCAAAATGTTTTTAATAATTATTAAAGATGAGAGTTTTGCAAATTTTTTGATACATAAGGATTGTGCAAAAACCCTAGGACTAGTTTGTAAAAGTAGGTTTTGCATATTATGCAGATTAGCAAGAAAATCTCAGTTGGCTAAATGATCCAAATTGCAATTTAGTTTGTCTTGAGCCAAGGAATCAGGGAAAAATAGGCCATTAGGACTCATATCATGTGCCTGAGTAGCAGGAGGGATTACTACCTATTGACCAAGTTTCATCTCTCTAGGATGGTTTGGTCTGGGTGATTTGTTTTAGCTTGATACGTTTCATTAGTGACACACAACATTCTTTTACCAAACTTTTACAAGCTAGTTAAGTAAGATAGAGAGTTAGTATCAGTACTCGGTATTGGCCGATACTCAATTTCTATTAGAAAGTGAACTGATTCTCCATTTTAGTCCTTCAATCAATTTAAGTGATTCTGCCATTCGTGATGCTTTTCCAGAGTCACTTTTGGTTGTTATTTGATCCATCCATGCAATCGAATCTGCAGTCCCTCCGCTTAATAGAGTTCCTCTTGGAAGAAGGCGCTGGCTAATTGTGATATTTGCTGCCTCTCAGCATTAAGCAGCTCCCCAGAGAGAGATCTGTGTGTTAATGTCAAAACGACAGATGCAATTACAGCTCGTGCTGAAGAAACATTTTGATTTAGCGTGTATGTGAAAAAGTGTGGGGTGCAAACTCGAGTGTGTGTTTGCGGAACAGCCCTGAAAAATGTGAGTCAGCAGTATTTTTGGATCAGAAGCTATGGTTTGTTTTAACGGCCTGGGAAGCTAGTGCTTTGGAAAACTCTGTTTAGATGAAGACAAATTATTCCTTCTTGAAATGGCAGGCGAGATTGTGTCGATAAGCAGGAAATGGGGGGATGAAGCTTGATGCTTAAGATGCCTAAAAAGGACACAAGTTTTTCAGCTCTCTAAACTTGGCATCAACACAACACCCACAGACCATGAGAATTTAAACAGTTTTTCTTTTGTTTTAACATTAGTTGTTCAGGTTAAGTTTTTTCAGGATTTTTTCAGGACTTCAGGTTCAGGATTATAAGATTATATTTAGGTTTAGGATCTGAGTTACATAAACATGTGCTCCAAAATTCTGAGTCTGCAACATGCCCTCTGTAGCTCCACTGTCATATTATTCTCCTTACATCATATCACTGATTATGGTCAACCATGTGTTTGTCTACATGATTTTCTTCTTTATTTGCTACACATTTATCCCATTTTAATTTGACATTTATCCCTCTGAATTGCACTCATGCCAAGCAGTAACCCATGAATTCCATACAGTTCAGTTCATTGGCAGTTCTCTGATATTAGATTTAAAAACTTGATGTACTTTGTAGAACATCAGAACATCACTTTTGCCATGTTTGCTCCTCCTGTCCACATCAGCCAGATTGCAGCCAGGTTTCTAATTGGTCATGAAAGACCTCATTTACCTGTTTCATGTCTTATTTCTAGGGGTGGTAAATGTAGATCAGTTATGTGGAATGTGAAAACATTCTAGTGAAGTGCATCTTTTTTCTACCTCATATATGTGAACAGTAACTGTATCTGGATTGTATCTTGTAGTTAATTAGGGGTGTGCATGAGTATCTGAGTACTGAGATGCTATTTGAATACTAAAATCACTATTTGAGTATTAATTATGCTGCATTAGCGAAAATCAGGAATAAAATATTCAGGCCATTAAGTTTTAACAGGGATGTAAAGTGCTACAGTTTTGCTCGTTTTTATTTGATACCATGAAACACTGCAGTACTTGAACGCGAGTATATTTCCAGAGATGCGTTTTGAAGGACGTGATTGAGAAGGCAGATGTAGTGTGGCGGTAACTAATTTATCTACTCTAGCTGGCTTTACCTAAAACCAAAAACAAACAAAAAAAAACTATTTCTCTGTTCTCAGCAATACCAAGAGTCTAACATGTTAAAAGCCCACAAGTTATCGTCATCTACAGCTGCGCCAGTTAGCTCTAGAGTTAGTGTTAGGTCATTAGGTCATGTGAAGGGGCAGCCCCTGTTACTCAAACCTTATTCAACACAAAACCGCACAGGTACCCATAGATTTTCCTTTTCCGTCTTTGAAAAATTAATTTTTTTTAAATGTACACCTCTGTGTACATTTAGTAAGAACTACTAAATGTTGCTGTAAACCAAAGCCTATTTTTTCTCCTCATTTGCTTTGTTTAGATGAATCTGTTGTTTGTGTTTAAAGCCCCTTTATTCATATTAATGAAATGTATTATGGCTTCCGTATGTAAACCAGAGTGTAGGGAGAGTGTGCTCTGGCATGTTGGGGCTAGACTTGAAATCTCAAATTAGATTACAGGGGTAAAGCTTAGTCTTAGCCGAAACCTTATCTTTTTCTCTTCTTCCCATGCTTAACCAGATATTCAGTCCACAATATCAAAATTAGTCAGAATGCAGATGCCTAGTGTGGCTTGCTTTCGTTCTGTTTAGTTCCCTCTCCCAGAATGACTGTGTCTTCTTCATATTCTGAATGGCAGTGTGTTCTGGGTTGCATTTACATGTTCAAAACATTGACGAGTTTAGAGTGTGTGCTCTGGCATGTTGAGACTGGACTGGTTAAGATGAGCTCTCAGATCAGATCATCTCAAAGGGGTAAAGCTGGGTCTTACAGGCATATGCTGGTGCTTTTTGTACATGCCCGCTGCGGGTCATACTTGAGTGTGACGCAGCTGACTGTTTGAGTCTGAGCAGTGTCAGACTGCTTGAACAAGCGGAGCACATGCTGGAGAGCTGGTAGGAATCCACACACATCGGATGTGTAGACAATCGGACACGCATGCGCGCGCACACACACACACACACACACACACAGACGCACAGTTTTCTGCTCCAAGGCCCTGCTTCTGCCATTAGTGCTTAGGCTGTGGTATCTTTATCCTGATGACCCATTTAGTCACAATGGCCACATTACTCTTTGCTGTGCATGTGTATGTGTGAGTCCTCAGGGCACTGTTTGTTCGATGTCCATCACATGTCTACGAGATTGCTAACATGGCTGTGACAACCAGTAGGTTTTTCCAAGATTTGTGCACGCTTCATAGGTTTAGTCACTCTTTCCAAGGGCTTGTATAACACTTCCACAGCATTGTGCAGCGCACTGACCTTCATAGCACCCCCAGCCTGCGGGGCTACACCATGTACATCCTCCTCCTCCTCCTCCTTAGTCCTGAGGCCTACTCAACCCTGCAAGTCTTCACTGGGTGCTCTAAGGTCCGATTTGGTGAGGAGCATCAGTGAATGCATCCTGGGCATGCAGCTGCTCTCCGCGGCCCATGAGGGCCCACGATGCGGCAACTGTCTCCTGCACCCTGAGGCTGTGCCAGGGAGGGGTGTTATAACAAGATTGTTCTGGCCCCCGGCCCAGCGCCCTGTCATTGTTTATCCTCTCGAAAGCTTTTCCACCGTTATCAGCAGCACCTAGTCTCCAGCTCCTTTGCTTTATTT